CAACATGCATGATTGATCTTTAAAACACAGAGTGAATATGGGGACTCTGGTGGCAATTTTTAAAATAGGAGTTCCAAAATTGTTTTGAATAATGACAGCATCATTGAAAAAAAATAGAATTTTCAGAATGATATTTAAAAGGGTACTATTTAATATTATTTGAAGAACAAAGTTTGAATGCTTTTACACTTCATAAAGGGGAAGGCCTAATTCTCATTCAAACCAGTTCCTTGAGTTTTTGACATTTATTTATTTTGTAAATTAGCGGAAATATATATAATTGATTATTTTATTAGTTCAAAATTTTTCTATAAATCAAGTGAATTTTGGTGGAGCAGAAGGCAACATCATTGAGTGCAAAGAATATCAACCACAGGGTCAGGCAGCCCTGGGATTTGATCCTATTTCCCATACTTACTGAATTGACCATCAGTTTCTTCATCTTTTTAATCGAGGAATATAGTTACTCTTCACAGTGGACATTTCTCATTTTTTTCTCTCTTTATTGTCCAATGCCTAACTCTCCCTTCTCCTATTCTGGAACAGTTTTGTGGTAGTGCCCAATGTCCCTGCCCTGAGGACCAGGAATTTGACACATGACCTAGGCTTAGCCAACCATCCAGCTGCCCTTGCCCCAAACATCCAGCTTGCCCTTGCCCTTGTCCTTGCCCAGGACTCTGAATCACGATTAAAAAACTCAAAGGCGAAAGTTTGGTTACAGTTTTCTCACAGTAATTTTGTCCTGGGACAGAATGTACGTGCTGCCTAGCCTTGCAACACCTACGCCTTTATTCTTTATCATTTTCCCAGACTGGCCTTCAAATCTCCAATCAACTGTGAGCCTTCAATAGCATCCTGCAATAAATTCCTGCTCTTCTAAGATGAGCCGAGCCAATTCCTGTTGCTTGCAAGCAAATGTCCTGCCCGACATACCTAATATGAATGATTGAATAATGGCCACTGGAAGATATCAAGTTCCAGTCCCTAGAACTTGTAGATATTATTTGGAAATAAAAGCTTTTGTAGATGTAATTAAATTAAAACTTTTGAGAGCAGGAGATTACAAATGTCCTTATAAGAAAGAGAAAGAGAAAAACACACACAAAGGAGAAGGTTGGCCAGGTGTGTGGTGGCTCAAACCTGTAATCCTAGCACTCTGGGAGGTTGAAGTGGGAGGATCCCTTGAGGTCAAGAGTTCGAGACCAGCCTGAGCAATAGTGAGACTCTGTCTCTACTAAAAATTGAAAAACTAGCTGGGTGTTGTGGTGTGTGCCTATAATCCCAGCTAAGTCAGGAGGCTGAGGCAGGAGGATCACTTGAGCTCAGGAGTTTGAGGTTGCTGTGAGCTAGGCTGATGCCATGGTACTCTACCCAGCATGACAGAGGGAGACTCTTTCTCAAAAAAAAGGAAGGATAAGTTCTTGTGAAAATGGAGATGGAGATAGAAATGATACAACCACAGCCAAGGAACGGTAAAGCTAAAGGAAGAAATGGAATCTTCCCTAGAGCTTCTGGAGAGAGTGTCAACATGTCGATAATTGGATTTCTGGCCCATAGAACTGTGAGAGAGTAGATTTCTGTTGTTTTAAGCCATAGGAGGTAATCTGTTATAGCAACCACAGAAAAGAATATACCTTGCTTGCACACTTTTTTGAGTATTGTACAGAATCTATCATCTATATATCTATTCATCTATTATAAAATTAACATTAGTGTTTTTTACATGATGTGCCTAAGATAAGTAAATTTATATGTAAATGATGCCATTATTACTGTGGCTATTGTTAAATTGTATAATTCATTCTTTTCAAACATATTTAATAGGTGCCTATAATGTGTCGTTATACCAGGATCTGTGGGTAGGCTTTGTCCTGTCTCCAGGGAACTTATTCATGAAGCAAAGATTTCAGAGCTCAGTCTTAATTGGACATAGAATAGGGAAGGAGAAAAGCCGAATGTAGGCAGAAAAAATGGCATTCACCAAAGCATAGACATGCCCAAGTTATGGTATGTCCCAGGAAAAGCAAGTAGTTTAGTGTGCCAACAACAAGAGAGAGAGAGAGAAAGTGAGAGCAAGAGAGCGAGAACACTAACAACATTCTATGCCAAAAACACCTCTGGGGCATTTCTTTTTCTAAAATTAACAGTTTTAAGTCTCTTGCCTTTACTTAAATCACTCAAGCTTAGACTTTTTCATCTGTGTAGCAAGCAAAAAAATGGACCTCATAAGTTTATTTTGAACATTAAATGAGTTAGTGTATATCACACAAATTATTTCATTTAATACAGAGAACAAAATTATAAGGCTGAACTATTAAACATACATTTAAAGATTAGGAAAACTTAAGGCAAAGTGATATTAAGAGACAAAACAAGCCATCCTAGCAATTTATTCAGAGACTAAGCTTCTAATTTTGATGTCATATAGCTGAAGAGAGAATGACTAGAATCCAAATCAAAGTCTCTTTGGCTCCAAAGACAAACGCTTTTTTGATTTTGGTCATTGAAGTTTAACAGCGATGATGGAACCTAGAAGTTGGGGAAGCAAATAGGTGATTTTAAAATAGGGTAAGAAGGAAGGATTTTCAAACTCTCACCTAGACCTTTCATAAAGCATGGCAGATTGAGCATGTATATTTATTTCATCTCTTTCCTTAAAGTCTCACTTAAATGGTAGTAAATTGATATTAAAATGGTAAACCCTACAGATCAATGACAGAAGAAAACAGCAGGTAAAAATTGGGGGATTATGGAAAACACATTTATGACTGGTAACTGATTTTGGAAAAAGACAGTAAAACATAAGGGATTGAGGATGGAGAGGAGACTGGGGTAGGGGAATTGGGACAAAGGGAGGGACTAGAGCCCCAACAAAGGGATTTCTTCAAACCCCAGAACCTAGAAAGGCCCAGAAAACAGTGGTTCTATGTATGCATCTTTCAAGATCGGGGTTTGAAGTAGTCTGAAATAGGAGTTCCACCTCCTCTCCCTTGACCATGACCAAGAATGTTTTGCTTCCGACCTGGCAGAAGATGGCTGTTTACTCCCTAGGGAAGTTGAAGTACAGGAGTAGTTGGCTAAGGGAAGCCAGACACACAGATATAGCTGTGGATAAAGATGAGTATGACACTTGAAACAGGGAGATTATGTGGAATTCTGCACATAGAATAGCAGGACATTCACTTTTTCCTCACTCCCTCAGTCCCCAGATGTAGACATCTCAACCTCAGTATTGGGCGAGGAGGTGTAGACTGGGTTAAAATGGGTGGATTGGTAGCTTGGGTGGTGAAAATATGGGAAATTTCCTTTTGGCATCTATTTTCTCAAGAAAATATGCAATATGAAGCAAGATCCTCAAGTAAAAGTGAGAGGGATAGACCAGGGTGATAAAGTTTGAGGAGAAAAGAGAAGGTGTGAAGTAGTCAGTTGAAGAGTGGAAATGAGAACACAGGAGAAAAAACTAGAGGCTGATTCACAGTGAGGAAGTGATAGATTAAGGAATCAAAGTCTCCAGGATAAGGCCCAGATCTTTGTTTCCAACATTGTTCTCCAATGAAAGAAACCAGGAGAAATGACTGATTGTAGGACTGGGTCAGGAAATGCGTGAGATTAGATCAGAATGATGTGTGGTATTGCCAGAATGTAAAGAAGTGCTGCAAAAGAAAGTATCTATTAATACAGTGATGGGGGTATGACAAAGGGACAGGGAAGCCGACAGAAAGAGCTTATAATGGCCCAAACTGGAACAATTTGGACAAAATAAATATTAATATGATAGCTTTGGATTATAGCTCAAAGTATAAAATAAATATTCCCGGGTCCATACTGACGTTAACAAATGAGTGAATAAATAAAGAAATGGAGAGAAGAGACAATCTCTGGTACAGAAGAAATCCACATAATTTATGTAGATATTCCACCCTCAAGGAGGTGGAATATAACTCCTCACTTCTCAAGTATGAGCTGTAGATGGTCACTCTCTTCCAAAGGGTACAATATGGAAAAGGGAGAAAAGTAACTTTTCTGTGGAGAACACTAGCAAAGTCTCCTTCAGCCAGGTGATCAAGGGTAACATCAACAGTGAGAAGCCATGTTGATCATCATATGTCCTCCATACGATGTGATGAGAATGGTACTACTCCTCCATGGTCTTCCTTCCCTAAACCCATAACCTCAGTCTAATCATGAGAAAAACATCAGACAGATCTATGTTCTACAAAACACCAGACTGGTATTCCCCAAAAATCTGTCAAGGCAAGTCTGAGAATCTGTCACAGCCAAGAGGAGCCCTAAGGAGATATGATGACTCAATGTCATCCTGTATGTTATCCTGTGCAGTGGTCCCCAGCCTTTTTGGCACCAAGGACTGTTTTCATGGAAGACAATTTTTCCACGGACCAGAGAGTGGGGGGGATAGTTTTGAGATGATTCAAACACACTACATTTATTGTGCACTTTATTTTCTATTATTATTACATTGTAATACAGAATGAAATAATGCTGTATGGGATCCTAAAACAGAAAAAGAGACTATTAGATAAAAGCTAAGGAAGTCTGAATATGGCTTAGACTTTATTTAATAATAATGTATCCGTATTTGTTCACTAATTGCAACAAGTGTACCATCCCAACATAAGTTAGTTAATAATAGAAGAAACTAGGTGTGGGGTACATGAAAATTCTATACTCTCTTCATGATTTTTTCTGTGAATCTAAATTATTATAAAATTTTAAATGTTTACAAATAAAGGAAAAAAAAAGTCTCCAGAGATTGAATAATTCCTGGAATGGAGCCACCAAATGAGATAAACTGGAAGGATGGGAGGCAGAATTCAGAGAAGCCACTATTATAGAGGTGGTGTATTATTTAAAAATATCAATATCAAGAATATGATGCAGGAAGGGTGCCTGATGTGGATGTTATTGAGGACCAGAAAGCTGAACAAGTAAAAGGCTAAACTAAGGATATAATAATAAAATTCTGCTCATGAATATTGCAGTTATCTATTATAGAATGGTATCAGAAGTAACGCTGAACAAGAAGATAGAACATCCTTGTATCACTGCAAAACGGTCTTAGAGAAGCTCTTTGACTACAGGACACAGGATACTGTGAAGGTGAGCTTGCGTCCCCAAATGAAATGCTAATTCCTAATTAAAACTCATGCACAAGTGTTAGCGGATCGGTTTTTAAGCAACTTCAGTCAGCTTTCAGAGGAGCAGACAGTATCTGGTTTCACCAGAGTAACAGATTATCAAAAATAGCAGTGAAGTCAGCTGTTTTTGTCCATATGGGATGCCCAAACAGGAACATATGCTGGTGTTTGATATTCATTCAGCCTTCTGCAATATGGCAACAGATTCAAGCTCTAGTGATCCAGGGAAAATAAAAAAATTTTGGTAACTGTTTACAGAAGTAGAGTCATAGCATTTAGAGGGTCCTTTGAAATACTTCTCCTTCTAACTTCCTGCTCTGGAGCTTGGTAACATAGAGTGGCAGAGTGCCAGATTCAATTTGTGCCAGCAAATTCAGCTTTTATTTTATCCGTTTTCTGATACTTGTTTAATCACTTTTCACTTTTTAATGGTGTCTCAATTTTAAAGCATTTTACAGTTTTTGTGGGCTTGATATATACCACTTAACTGAGGCAGGAAGAATGGATATTATTATCCCAATTTTACTAATGTTAAATCAGAAGCTGAGACGAGTTAAATCATTATCTTAATGTCAGCACAGCCAATAAGAGGCAGACTCAAGTCTAGAATTCACATCTTCTGATTTTAATACAATGTTTTCCCCTCGCTATACCATAGAACCCCTCATTACTACTTACTCAGAAATCTTCAACCTTCTTCACTGTTCATTTATTGTGTCTGTATTAGTTCATCGTTTTCGTGAAAAATCTTTTAAAAATTAATAATCCATTTGGAAATCTTTTTGTGACTTTCAATTTTAAGTCAATGCCACTAGTCTGTACTGTAAAATCAAGAACCAATTTTGTTGCTAGTAAATCCCTAGATTTAGCCCTGTACGTATACATAGCTGGTGCTCAGTAATTATTGAACAAACAAATGGATACATTTCAAAGTATTTTTAAAAATCCTTCAATATATTTATTCAACAATAATAATCATGCTTCAGATATTTTAAGGCAGTATATTTCCACTGGAAAGAATACTGAGTTCAGAGTCAGAACATATGTTTCATAGTTTTGATCAGCTTCCTCATCTAGAAAATAAAATCTTTAATATCTTTAGCATTAAATCATGTAATAAAATGATTTTATAACATAATCATATTATATAATAAGATTTTATGAATCTTTTAAAACTTGTTACTGTGTTGTATAGGATATCTGTTCCAACTCCTACCTAACAAAAGATTACATTATAATTTCATCATATTTTTGTCATATTAAATTTACTCTTTCCTGTATCTATTCCCTTTGTCATTTAACTTTGCAATGACAAAAATGTTGCTCCTCTCAAAAAAGATCCTTTGATTTTGGGCTCAGCCGTGTAGCTTGTTTTGGCCAATGCAATGTAAGCAGACATGACACAAACCGAGTATTGACATTGGCCTGTGTGATTGGACATTCTCTCTCGTGCATCTGCCATTGTCCTGAGTACATGTCCGGGCTGGGTTGCTGGTGCCAGGAGGAGGATGAACTGCTACCAGCAAGAGAGAAACCTATACTTACTGCTCTTTGCTGCTAAGATTTTGTGGCTGGCTGTCATGCAGCAATATTTAACTAAGAAACAGTTTTATTCTGTTCAATTTAAAAGATTATAGTCAATTAGAGGGAATGGAGAGAAAAAGAAATAGGTGCTGAGGATGCTTTTTATTTATTATGATCTTTAACATTACTGCATCTGTTCCAAGCACTGGACCTTTGGTTCCTATCGACGTTAGCCATCTTCAAAGTTTTGGCGCTATGTCCTCGGTAAAAAATATCCTTCTTTTCACCCTGTATACAAATCCTTTTAAAATGTGAATGCCTCAGATGTTTCTTTATAGATGTTCCACTTTTCTTCCTCATCAGAATCTAATCTGAGAATCTTCCATTCCTCTAGAGTCATCTTTCTCTTGTAGGTTTATGCCTTTCTATGAATCTTATACTTGTTACTGTGTTGTCTCTGACATCTGTTCCAAATCCTACCTGACACAAGATTGACCTGGAAGAGCTTTCAAGTTTTGATTCTTGGGCCATTTATCCCCACTGGCTCTCTGCAAACGGGATCAGGGAATCTATATTTGAAAATTTCCCCTATAAGGATTCCTTTATGGCAAACTTTTTTTAACAGGATGAACTAGTTTTCTTTTTCTTGGCTATTAAGGATTAAAGAATAGCATGACCACTTTCCCCCTAATATTACCCTCATTTCCACTTTATTAACTAGTTCTTCCTTGTTTATTAGAAAGGTGACAAGAAAAGCATGTTCCTGTATTTCTCCTACAAACTTCAGAGAGTAAAACTTGTCAATAAGGCAAGGTAAAAATAACAGAGACTCGATTTTGACAAAATAATATTTATTTTAAATATATAGATGATTGATATCTTCCAACACTGTTTTATCTAGCTTCTGTGGTGTGTTTTTTAAGTTATTATTACTTTCTAATTAGAAAAGCATTGCTCATATTGTCTGTATAATCAGGCATTGAAATATTCTTTCTGAATTCATTTTATTTCTGCTGTTTCTAGTTTATGGGTTTTCAAAAGAAAATCCCAGGTTCATTATCTATAAAATTTTATCTTTGAAATTAACTTAGTCTTTGATAATATATAGTAAATTAAAGGGGAATTAACCCTGATTTGTAGATAAGAACATTGAGTTTCAGAGAGGTTGGTAGTTACTTGCTCAATGTTGTATAGTTTGTAAGTAGCAGAACTAGGTTTAAATCAAGGCCAGTTTTATTAAAAAAAAACAACAAAATCCCATAATCTTTCTACCATACCACATTGCCTATCTGCTAAGTTAAGTTGAAGTTATATTTGAATTTCCTCCCTTGTTACCAAGATCAATTACTTGATTTTAAATGTCCTTAGAGATCCCCATATATACACCGTAAAATGCCATGATCCCTAGAAAAGAAATTATTAGAATCTTCCAGCTAAAATATATAAAAGAACAGTTTGAAAAGAGTAGCATGCAAATAAAGGCTATTAATAACAATATCCCAGAAATAGGCTCATACGATATTTCTTCCCTCTACCTTTTAGTCACCCTCACAATTTAATTATTACAGCACAACCTCAGGAGTAATATTTTCCAATTTGATATGGTTGCTATTTATGTTAACACTCCAGATGAATGGCAGGTGGACTGAAAGGTAGGAAAAAGGATATCCTTGAAATTTTCAAGTTCCTGCTTTCTCTATTAGCCTCTTGGGTTCTAACACTTAGAAAATAGCACATTCAAATATTCTAGAGAAAATAGTTATTGACAGGGAAGAGAAACTAAATAAAGACCAGTTTTCTAAAATCCTAGCTTATTTCTCTAGGATTTGTTGAAAGATCAACAATGACTCCATTAGAAATATTTTTTGCCTAAAATATAGTAAGCACTCATTGATTTAGCTCAGGCATTATCATTCGAGTGGATTATATATTTTTCAAACTATTCGTGCATCTAGTTTCTTCTGCCTGATTCTCTATACCTTTGGTTCATTACCTACCTCATTAAAATTTCCATCATGGAGAGGACACCTAATTCAATCTCGTCATTTATTAACTGCTCTTGCAGAGGCTGCATGTGTTGGCAATTTAAAAGTAATGGTTAAGGTGTGGGTTGAGCCTCGCTTGCTATTTTCATGTTTCATTATCAGCGAAGGAGCAGCAAATGCTCTTCGAGTGAACTTTATATTCAAGGTGGTCTATTAAGAAAACTTGAATTTCCAGATTGCTCTGTCCGTAAAGAGCCTGTGATAAGGGATAGAAGGGGCTGGGCTTCATGCATAGGGCAATCAAAAGGGGACAGGTATCACAGATGTGCTTATACATGTGCCTCTGCATGCAGATAAATACTATCAGGGTTAATGAACATTGCATGAAGATGGATGTACTGGAAAGAATTACCTTGGTGCCAACGATGTCTACAGAGTGAGATGTTGATTCTGTCAAAACAATGATCAGACAAGGAATATTTAATGAATAAGGGAGAGAAGATGGGTATCTCAATCTCAAAACTGAGAATTTAGATCAATTCTCAATCTCTATAAACAGATTGAGAATTGCAGCAACCTGACAGTTGTGTGATCATTGGGCCAACAAAGGGAGCCCCCCAAAAGTGGCGAGTTACGAGAAACATCCATGTGGCTGATTTTACCCAGTATGCCCACATGACCTTCTTGTCTTTAGGAGTTTTAACATAAATGTCTGTGAAGATAATTTAAACATAATGTCCAGAAGCAAAGATAAATAAATATAATCACCAGAATAGATGAGTTTTGTTTTTTAGTTTTAACCAAAAATACAGGATCTGAATTCAGAAAGGAATCTAGAGACTATGCAATCTCAAATTCTACAAATTAAAAAAACCAATGCCATGGATGATGAAGAAACTTGCTAATCTCACCCCCTAGGTTCTTTCCATTTCTTCATAATCACCCTTTAACAGAGAACTGAAAACGTTTGCAACTGTGATTAAAGAACCGTTTTAGAACTCTTTCAAATGTCACCAAAAATGACAAAGGATTCAGAGAGTGCAGATGGGTCAAGTTTTTCACCAGTGAATTTGATGTTGATCCATGTTTAATCAGTTCTAAAAGTAGTGACCCAAAATAATAGGATCCAGGATGAATTCACTAAATGTTCAAATGTTCAAACTAACCTATTTTTCTTCCAACTTTTACTGTCATAACTAGGAGCTTATCATGAAAAAGAGTACCTGAAATTCGGCAACTTGTTTTATAAAGTTTCTCAGGAAGACATGGGGAAGTGGAAACTCTCATATATTACTGGTAGGAGCATCGATTTCTATAAGCAATATTAATTTCGCCATGTATTCCTATGCCACATATCCTCCACATGGCCCTGTAGATTCACCGTGAGCCTCGCCTTTCTTCACCTTATCCTCTGCCCCAGGGCATTTGACCTCTATGGATTGCATCAACAAGG